CTGTTTGGTTTCACCATTTATCAAATAAATGGTAGAATGAAACACTTTGATTTTTGTGCATGGGGCATTTGGGGAAACGTCAAATTCTTGTTTCTCCCAACATTCTCATCGTTTCTTGAAACTAAATGTTGATGTGGTCCACTTTAATGGGCATTAATCTGAGGTGGAGAGTAAAAAAACGTTTAAAGTGAAACCCAACCAAACAACAAAAACAAGAAACGCTTAAAGTGAAATAGTACAAATAAACGGCCTATCTATAAACGCCCACATAACCAAACACATACTAATTGAGCATTCTAGACATTTGAAGATTTTAGTCCCAAAGGCCTTCAAGTATTTTATCACCAGAAGCCTTTAAGTATTTTATCACCGGAATATTTGAATGGTTTTGGATATTTCCAACATACTGTAGGTGTTACATCAGGTACTTGTTTCAATGGTTGTCAAGTTAAAATGCCCCTTTAACTGAAAATTCGTCACAAGAATCAGCATTATGAATAGTCAAAATAAAACAAGATAACAAATTACAACTTAACTCAAGGAATGCTAGGAAGTATAATACCCAAATTAAATAGGGTTTAATAAGATATCCATTTGTGAAGCAAAGTGGGATGAATTCAATTCATTGAAAAAGATACCGCGGAATTAACCACTATCAGCATACTTTGTGTAGGTTGTGTTTGTTTTTAGCGTAAAACTCCATTGACCTTCCAATCTGTATTTGTCGGTGTTTGTTTTGAATGTAATTTTACAACAAAATTTGATGTAAATTCCACTCACGGTAGAGTTTTACACCGATAATCGATGTAAAGATAACATCGACAATCATGCATTTTCACTTTACAACGGTTCACTCATTTAAACCGGTTAGTATTGAAGTCCATTGATGTATTTTTACACCAACAAATATTTATCCCGAAAACAAACACAATCATGGTAGTCATATTGATAATTTGCTTTATCAAAACTATAATTTCGAGGGAGGTGGAGTGAGACACATATGTGATCCTATAAATGAACCAAGTTGTTATTGGGTTGGTACATAGGATGAAGTACTTGCCAAAAGAATATTATAACTTAGAAGATGAGGTAATTCAAATTCATGGTTGTGCTTAATGTGTAGGTACCTGCATCATTAGAGCACCAAAGCATTGATGGAAATTGAAATAAACCATGTTGATGATGAACATGCCTTTAACATTCCTCCTAAAGCTTTATTAGTTCATTAGCCAAAATAGCCTTAAGTCTATGGTCCATGGGACAACTGTCGACATCACCTAGGATAGGAAAACAAAAAGGAATAACACTTGTAAAAAGTAAAAACTCTGTATCAACCTCAACATCCTTTTGATTTTCCTCCCTCATTCATCTAAACAACCAACCCCCAACCCTCTTAATCTCTTAATTATTGAAAAAAAAAGGAACCATTGCTCCAAATCATTAATTTATTCCTCTGTTTTTAATGCAGAGATCCTATCTTAATACTTTTCTTGCATATTCTTGGGTTAATAGTAGATAAGGGAAACTTTTTGCCCTTAATATCGATAAAGAATACTATTTTTATATAATAACCAAAACATGGTATTTTTTTTGGGAAAATATCAAATAAGGGTAATGTTACTGTTGATAGTCTTCCTCTGCCTCTGTGTAAGTCCTCTAGCGATGGCCTACAATTCATGAAGAGAGGAGAGTCACTGAAGAAATAGATGGAAATTCTCGTTGAGCTCAAAGCCAACAACAAATAAAGAAAGAAAACTCTGTTGGGGACTTGAAAGAAAACTCTTCTCTTTTCTATCTCTTGACTGAAGACGATGAGTCTGTTAAGGACATGACAAAGCAAGAACATCTTCAAGACAACTCCATGGTTGAGATGCTGAGTTTGAAAGAAATTAAGTGCGATTCTCATAATCTCCAAGATCATATGAGATTGGAAAATCAATTAGGATGAAAAGAGAGGAAGAAGGAAAGATGAGAACCCTTTCAGGTCATGTAATCAATTACCAACGAACGAATGTGAAGATAAACATCCCACTAATGACGCCTAGTTGTACCCTCTTAGTGATCATTTACTTGGTTTGGGATGATTTGATTAACCAGGTGGACCAGAAGGAAAGAATAAGTTAAATATCAATAAAAAGAAGCTACATCATGCCAAGAAAATGATCAGAGGAGCTTTCACTGAGCTCTATAAAGGGTTAGGTTCGCCATGACGAACAAGATGAACTCATTGCTTATTTGAGGGCAAAGACAGTGATTTGCGGATTCTCTATAAATGTTAATAGAGAAGGGTTCACCATGATCATCAAGACGAACTCATGGCTTATTTGAGGGCAAAGACAAACTAATTTGTGGATTCTCTGTAAACGTTGGCAGATAAGAGTTTGTCATGAGTTATTAACGACAAACGTCACTTGCTCAGCGCAAGTTTACTGAGGAGGAAGATGAATGCCCTTATTTGATATTTTCCAAAAAAATATATATTATTTCGGTTATTATATAAAATATGTTATTTTTATTGATATTAAGGGCAAAAAGTTGCCCTTAACAGCTAGAAACCCCATATTCTTTGCCACCTAAGAAGAAAGTACCCAACTTCTTGCCTTCTTCAACAACTTATTTTAGAATCTTAAAACTCACCTTGTCAATGTCATTTCAATTATCCTTGTAAAATCCTCCCGTGCATGTACGGATCCCCGGTTCCCCGATAGTAAATTAATATTCCAAAAGCTACAATGTCAACAAATTGGGATCAATGCGGGTCCACTTGAATCTAGAGCCAACCCCCCAGTGCTCCAACTCGAATCCAACCCAATTCATCTTAATAATGCATAATTTCCAAACCTGATACCGATCTGATTTGACCCGTAATATTTCGATTGTATTTTTTAAGAGCAAATTTCTTAAGCTACCCTTATTGATTAGTTAATTGACAAATCTACCCTTATCGTTTATATATTGTCTTAGAGTATCCCTAAGTTTTTTGGCAATTGACTAGCTCTACCCCTACCGTTAGCATCTGTTAGTGTCCTATCAAAATCCGTACACATGTGACATATAATGTTTTTTAAACCCAATATTACCCTCCATCCCTATTCTATAAGTCAGGTAAGAATCATCATCAGTGAACAGTTATCATCATTGTTTCAGTCTTCATTGATTCTTCACTTGTGATTCTTCGCCGATAATTCTTCATTGCCATGAGTCATGACTCTTCTTCTTCTCCTTCTCCAAAGCTATATTGTCGTTCTAGTTCCACCAGAGATCGTTTGTCAACTAGGTCAGTTCGTTGAGGGAGGAGCACCAGAGAAATTGTGACTTGTATTGAAGTTGGCCATTGTTGTTTGACACCACTGATCTGCTGTTGATTCACATGGAGCTATAGAAATTAGCGTTCCTGAAGAACCTAGACATCATTGTTGGTGAGAGAACAAAAAACAATTGGAAGAGAAAATTGGACCTTCGCGACAATTGACCTTCTATTGCAAGAAGAGAAAGAGGGGGTTTCCCGTTCCACACACACACACACACACATATACTAGTAATTAAGCACATACATTGCACGTGAGAAATTTTGTTCATATTAATTACTTGAATTTTAGATATATATTTTTTTATATATTATTTTGATTACTTGTACTTTTTATTTTTTAAAGATTTAATATATCATTGGTTAATGCATTTGGCCCAAACCTCTAATCCACAACTCAAAAAGGAAAATAATTTGATTTGTAGGTTGACACTAAATTTTATATTACATTTCCGTCATTGATAATGAGTGTATATTATTTGAGATATACCCAATATTTATTTTTATTAATATATAACATTAGATATGTGCCCAAATTTTTTCTATTTTATTTTTGTTATTATTTATATTTCTATTTTTAAAAGTTTTATTATTGGATTATGACATCATTTCATTTATAGGTTTATTTTAACTTTGGCATTCCATTTTCATCATTAATAAAATTACTTCTTACATTTTATATGTATTTTTGTTTAGTATAATGAATATGCAATATTATATATATGCCAATTTTTGTTTAGTATAATAAAATTAATTCTTACATTGCATATATGTTATTTATTTATTTTTAAATATATTATTTATATTGCATTTTTGTAAATTTATTATATTACTTATTTTCTGTTATAAAAAACAAGTATATATATGATCAAAATAGTTGAAAATATACTTGTGTTTTTTGTGTTTATTTATTTAAATGGTTACATCTTATTTTTCTTTTAATAATTTATTTATTTATTTTTAAAAAACCAGATCGGATTGAGTGGGATCCAAAGATATGATGGTCTCATTGGGTTCGAATTCAAACCCATACTTATGAGATCCGATCGGATCTCCCCTTAACAATGTCGGATCAGATACAACGTCATTCGAATCCAATTAGAATTAGATCGGTTTGCATCCCTATAGAGTTACTTTATATATACAGAATATCATAACTCAATGAGACAGGTCATTTCAAACCCGAACCCAATTTGGGTTAAAAAATAAAAACTATGACCGGACCCTAAAGCCAAATACGCATAACCCTAACCCGACCCACTGACATCCTTATATAGGAGTGTTTTGGTCCGGTGTCTCGTAGCCTGCAACAACCAAACCCCACCACCTTTATAATAAGTGAACGAGAATGAGAGTATAAGGTCCTCTCTCCTGCAACACGTGGTGTCCACGCGCATTCCTCCAAACAGAAAAGGTTATCCGTCTACTGTCGTTGCCACCTTGGGCTTAGCTAAAGTACATAAACAAAATAGAAAATACGATATCACATCTGCGCCCCACAAACACCTCATATGCAGCGGTGCATTGGGAACATCTCCCGAAGTTCTGAGTAGGAGATGTTTCCACTACACGGTCGGATATATTGTGGGGCGTTTTTGGGCCAAGTGTGAATTCAGAAAGTTTCACATTTACTGCCATGTGTTCGCATTACATGGAGAGTGGTTGCGGCGACTGCAAAAGCGACTGTTTCTCTACTCAGCTACTCTCGCTTCCCTTCTCGCTTTTCTGGTTTTCGAGTTTTGCGCCTGCGTTTTCGGGTGCGCAAGGTGCATAGCGCGCGAGATAGCGTTGTCGGGTAAATGAAATCTCCATCCGAAAGTTCGAAACAGTGTTTCTGAAAAGCCCGCATTTCTCGCTCACTCTGATATTCTTTCTGTTTCTGCCCAGCTGGGTTGGTGTAGAATGTATTTACTCTTCCTATCAAAATAGTTGAGAAAGGAAAAGCTTCTCTTTCGTGGTTCGTTTGGATTTGAAAATGTAACTTCTGGAAAATAAACCCTAGATCTCCTTCTCTCTCCGAAACCATAATTTCTCTACTTTGATTGAACCCTCCATTTTCTCACTGACTTCTAACAATCAATTATGGTGCTTACTTTTTAACGTTTTCACTTGGCTTCAGATCAGTCACCATGTCGACTCGATTTGTGGGTTGTTTGTTACTGGCGTTTATTCTCGTGGAGGGCTCTCTGGCTTTCACATTCTCTTCCAAGCTCATCCACCGATTCTCTGAGGAAGCGAAGGCTTACAGGGGTCGTAGAAATAGGGAGCTTCTTCGTTCCTGGCCCAGGTGGAGGAGTATGAAATACTATCAGTTGCTTGTAAGCAGTGATTTGCAACGGCAGGAGATGAAGCGCGGGCCCCAGTATCAGTTTCTTTTTCCATCTGAGGGGAGCAATACTATGTCATTTGGGAATGATCTTGGATGGTTAGTTCGATCACTCATTTGCCGATGCTTTTTTGTTTCTTACTTTCTTGTAAGGCCATTTGTTTTCCGATGTTGGATTGATTCAACCATTGAGTTCATGGGTTCTAAGCCTTGTTTTTTTTTTTTTGTATTTTTCCTTATTTTTTCATTGGTTATTTGTTTTCCCCCCTCCACGAATGAGTTATGCATATTTTGCGTATCCATACAAGCGTTTTGTGGTTTAATGGTGGGAGTATCTGAAAATCGCACATTTAGACTTTACATTCCCATTCATCAAAAAGAAACTCTACCTGTTCATACAGAAGCATTTTTCCCCTAACGGGAATCAGGGCTCAACGCGGGCCTTTTTTTTTGTTTTGGGTAAGTGGTAAAATAGTATCGAATTGGTGTACAGAGGGCGAGACACCCTCGCAAAAATTTACAACGAGCTATATATGTATCAATGTAGCATCTACAGTGTAAGCATTAGACTCGTAAAAAAGACCGAAACCCAATCATCCTTAAATATGTCAACAGTAACTCCAGAAAATTGCTGTATCACTCTCAACCACCGAATGAGTGTCCATTCCACTCTGCAAATCAGCTCCTTCAGTTGGTGTAAACGTGGACCCTAGTTTGAATTCCATTATTTGGAATAGATAGAGTTCATCTTGTGACTACTGACAGGAATCATTGGTGTATGTTATTCTGCAAATTCATTTTAATCTAATGATCATGCCTGGGTCTTATAGTTTGGCTCAGTTAACCTACTACAAGACATTGTATTTGCGTTCTTTTTTTGGGTGATGGGTTGGTAAATATCAGAATCCACGATGTACAAGTCAACTTGGTTGAATCTATTATTCATGGTTGGCCACTTGGTGAAGTTGACTCCAGTTTGAATTGCTTTGGACATTTCCAAGTTGCACACCATAATTAGAGTTCCATTCTCGGTGTTGTGTACTTGTGTTGGTCTATTCATATTTAGATGAACTCTAAAAATGAATTAGTGGTTCTACTTAGAAGAATTGACACTCACAAAAGTGACGTTTCAAAACTGTACGGGACCTTGAACCTCAACAGCTGAATGGTTAATGAATCTACTAACTATTCAACTGTTCATCATTGTAATACCATGAAAGTAAATGGCTGATATTGGAATAGAAAACCCAAATTTTATATTTATAGCTTTATGGGGAGGATTGGGATTTTCTATCTCCTATTTTGTTTAAGAATGTGTTTGATAAAGAACCCACCCAAACAACAGCTAATTAGGTGGCTGGAATGGGCTTAAGCAAGCTGGAATTAGGTTACAAATCCCTTAGTTTGTTACTTTGAGATTTAGCTTAGGTTTATCCAACAAAGTAAGCTGGAGTGAACTTAATAGAGTTTAAATAACCAACAAAAACAAGTGAAAACTGAACCTGTAAGTTGGTAAAAGGGGTTAAACAAGGGCTATTAGGAATGGTTAAAACATAAACATGTTTTGGTTAAGTACTGTGCTGTAAGAGGAAGCTGTAGAGGATTTGGAGTTCTCGCGGGCAAGGAATTGGAAGAAGAACATTAAGATAGAAGTGAAGGATTTGGTACTAGAAGAACTATTCCACCAAAAGGAGGTTACAATGAAGGTAAGGGAAGGAAGAAAATGAACGGTGTTCTTGGTGGGGGAAGCAATTCCGTGGTTTCAAAGCTTCTTGGATGGAGCCAAGCAAGTGAGTTGGTTTGTGGATTGGAAGGAAGAGTCAGCTGAAAACTGCATATAAAGAGTATTTTGTAGAAAGGAGGAATGCTAAAGGGTGGTATGTTAGCTTGACGGAGAGGTTTACGAAAGGAAGGAGATAGATGATTATCATACTAGAAGGGAGAAAGCTGGAAGGGTGGATGAGAATAGCAGATGAGTTATACCCAAGAGTTAAAGTATTGATATCGAGTATTGTATTAGATAACTCGGATACAAACAAAAACATGAAAACACTTGGATACGCTAGGAAAATGAATATTAATTCTATAAATATATTACTAACAATAGGTTTAATGTCAAAATTGTAACAAATAATGTGTAAATACATAAGAATTGTATATTTTGATGGTATATATGAAGAAATATATTACAATTAATATAGCAGAATGCATAGATATCATACAATTTTATTGATATGCATCAATCATGATTCCAAGAGACATATTATTGTAGATTTTTACAAATTAATATATGCACAAAGCCATTATTATCTTATTTTATATTAAAGTCCAAGGCACATATGCAACTATTATATTTTCAATTATTATATCATTTTTTTTTTCTGTTTTACTAATAATTTTTAACGTTAACAAAAATGTAAATGAAAAATTAATTCTCAAAATTTTGGTAAACGATATTTTCATTTTTGTAAACAATAAATATGTTATTATAAAATGCAAATCAAAATATTAATTGATAATTTATAAAAATATATACTCCTAACATAAAATATATCAAATATATTTAAATTTCAAAGATACATATTATATGAAAATTCATAAATTTTAATTACTACAATAATTATTTCATTATTAATGTTTTTATTTTTATGAATTTCTAAAATAAAAAATAATTTTGTTAGTGGATTTGATAGATTCAATTTATATTACATTTTTAAATAATATTTTCATTTTTTGTAAATAATAAATACATGGTTATTTAATGCAAATTAAAATATTAATTAATAATTTATAAAAATTTTGAGAGATATATATATCATGTGAAAATTTGTAAATTTTAAGTATTAAAATAATTATTCTATTATTAATATTTTGAAATTTCTTTAAATTAAATATCAACCTTTTGATATAAATGTTGGTTTGTAGATTATTTATTCCATTGGTTTATAAAATATTAATTTTAAATATTTATTCTTTTTAATTTGTAATTGGAGTTGTTGAAGATAAGTGTATGTTGGTTGTTGGGATTTTATGTAGATATTATGTAATACAAGTGTATTTGGCTTAGTGCTTAAAGATGCATCACTCTAGTCTTGGTCGCTAGGCGAGTTAGGGTTTTAGGTTTGGATCACGCTAATAGTATTTCTTATATTGAATTTGCGCTTCGACGCTTGTTGACAAACCAATGTTCTATATGCTTTCGTATCGGTGCGTATCGGATTGTATTGGATGATACTGCACGATCACATTGATATGATGGCGTATCGGACCTATATGCACGATTGGAAGGATACACTTCCAGTCATAGCATATCCTGTGTTGGTATGACCTGATATCGATACGATACGCCCTGTATCGGGTGTATCGTATTGATATTTTAATCCTTGGTTATACTAGGTTGGATTAAGGCACTGGAACAAAGAAAAGAATGAAGAAGAAAGTAAAAAGATGATGGAAAAAGAAAGCGAAGTGTTGAAAAAGGAGGATATGAAAGATAAGAAAAAGGATGGAAAAGTTGGGAGTGGAAAATGAAATGGATGCAAGGGATATAGTGTCAGTGGTTTCTTGTGTTTCGATACAAAAAATGGGGATAGAAGGAGAGAGGGGGGATTGGGAACGGAAGCTGGTTGTGTCGGAAAAGCAAGTGGTGAAAGACTGGAAGGGGATTCTGGAGGAAGTATATAAAAAGCTAAACCTTGAAAAAAACGGCTATACTTATCCACTTTGATGACAAAACAACTATTCTGGATGTGGGGGAGAAAGAGCTTGACTTCACCATGGTTGAAACACAAGGGTTGGTGACAATAGAAAATTGGTGTCCGTCTTGCAATACGAAAATCTTAGACGGAGGTTGCATCTAGCTGAAACTTTTGGGTTTACTGTTCAACCTTTGAAGGAAACCCATGTTTGAAAAGATTGCCATGGCGTTGGGAGGAGTCCTCATTTCTTTCAAGAAACTAGATTTGCGGGCAGCAAGCTTGAGAGTTGTTGGGGTGAAACCTGAAGCAATCCCTCGTTCTATAGATGTGTTGGCTGAAGGAGGCTGGAGCAGAATCTGGATTGCTTTGGTGGTGGAAGCAACGCTATGGCTTGGGAGAGCAAAGGTTGAAGAAGATGGTGATGTGGCGGGCTGGGTTACATGTGGAGCCGCATAGAAAAAGGAGAAGCGACAAGTAGGAGAACACGTGTTATGCGTATATAAAAACAAAAGAGGGGAGGATGTAGCTATGGTGCCAAATTTCTAGGAAAAGAACACGTTTTCAATTAACGAAACAAATGAAGTGGGATTTAGCCAAAATGAGGGCCTAATGTTAAGAGAGGTTGCGTCGAGGGACAAGGAAAGTCAAATATGATCGGCCAAGACCAATAGTAGTGAACCAATGGGTTATTCTATGTGTAAAGACCCGGTTCAAGAGGATGTGGACCAAGATGCACATGATCTTTTTAGTGAACATGTGAGTTCTAAAAGAGAAGCGGTGATAGACAAGTCACAAGGCCTATCATCATCTCATGGGTCAGTGACCACAAACGAAGGACAAAAGAAGGGGTGGCTACAATGGCAGCAGCGGAGCCGACCATCAATCGAGCACCCCAATCCAAGATTCGCATGAAAAAGACAACGATGGGGGGATGATAGCAATGTGTATTGGAATAGCTCTGTGGTCGATGATGAATGGTTATCATCAAATGAAGATTCGAGCATCGACATTATTCAAGATCATGTAGCTCCACTAGTGTTGGAATTAGAGGACCTATTTTTGGAATATTTTGTCAATTTAAACATTAAAGAATAGGGGAAAATGGAAGGATCGAATGGTCAGGGGTCAAAAATCATGATCTGAAAGTCCAGGGTGACGACTTGTCTCTAGGAAAGAGAAAACCAGAACAAGATCAAAGGCAGGGGAAGGAGATTTCGGCGGTATCAGGGTCAACCCAGGATACCTGTGCAGAAATGCCAAATAGGGGTGAGACACCAAGTTTATCTCTGACTCAGCTACGAGTTATGGATTTCGACCACAACAATGCACTCATAGAGGTTCCACCATTGCAGTAGAATTCGAAAGAGCCCTCGGGTGTAGAGGATGTTAATGAAGGAGAGG